TTTTTTTATGATTTTGTGATTTAAATACTATAGTTCCACTTAAGTAAAACCTGAACTCTTTTCGCACGTGTCGTTGAAATCATGATTAAAATTCAACTTTGTATTAAACAAATTGCAAACTTATTTAGATTTTAAAAAAAAAAAAAAAAAAACACTTTAATATCTATAATCATATGCATTACATCGCAACTTACCTGGATATGTGCCAAAACTATAATGATATCGAAAAATCCTTTCAGATACACCATCCTGTTTTTCTTTTGAATCGATGATGTTATTAAATTACGGAAAGAATGAAACATGCTTTATGCCATCGATGACTATCAAATCATTGTCATATATGGGCTTACCATTTACTGGCACTTTTGAAAAATGGACGATAAAGACGGTGCGCAAGAGAGTAAAAATTGTTTTCAAGGATTTTCGTATCCCATGTAGAAAAGGTATGACATTATCTGATTTACAATTTCAAATTAATTTACAAAGGACTGAAATTGAATTTAAAACCTAAAATAGCATTTTAAGCCTCGTCTTGATAAGCATTTGCTTTCAGCAAGGTTTTAAATTTACTCCTTTAGGTGGGCCTTCAGATGATTAGATTCACTTTTGACTCTATAGTCATTATAATAGAATTTTAATGATCGACAAATATCATTTCTTTTCAATCACAGTGTATCAGTTTCGTTACACATTATGAACAAGATTAAGTTTGCTGAAAATGATTTAAATGTATTGAAATATTATGTTTTTAAAAGAAACGAGTAAAGGTAACGCTTATTTAAAAAGAGGTAATGAAAGACATTTTAAAAGAATATTCTATAAGATGTATGTAGTTTTATTTTCTTTACTATTTTAGATGGATTAGATTCGGAGTTCATTATAATCGATCCATACGTACAGCAATATTGTAATTTAAACAGGCCACCTGATGTGTTGTATTCCCGGTCTGATACCGTAATTGTCACATTTAGAAAAAATGACGACACCCCAAATCCGTTTTATACGGTTGGCTTTTGGCTCGAGTATTTCGTTGAAGAAGTCTCGTTAGAAAATCTGATAGATGTACAATCAAACGCATCACTTTGTACGTATCCTTGTAAATTCTATTTCATGATATATTAAATCAAAACTGTTTAAATAGTTTCTTTGTTATTTTTGAAATGGTGTATCCTTTACAAAATCAAATTACAATTAAGATCCTGAAATGCATCATTATTAATTAATTTTTATGATAAATAGAAGAACACATATTTACGCATTCAAAGTGACGTTATAGCTATTGTAGACAATGTTTTAAGAAGATTCAAACGATCATAATTGAGCCGCGTCATGACAAAACCAACATAGTGGGTTTGCGGTCAGCATGGATCCAGACCAGCCTGCGCATCCGCGCAGTCTGATCAGGATCCATGCTGTTCGCTATCAGTTTCTCTACTTGTAATAGGGTTTGTCAGCGAACAGCATGGATCCTGATCAGACTAGGCTGGTCTGGATCTATGCTGGTCGCAATGCCACTATGTTGGTTTTGTCATGACACGGCTCATATGATCGTTTGAATCTTCTTAAACCATTGTCTACAATAGCTATAACGTCACTTTGAATGCGTAAATATGCGTTACAATTTAGAAGGCTACCATTTTGTATGATTAACAAATTAGAAAAAGATTTCAAGTATCAGTATTTTCACGAAATATTGAACGCCTAATTGCGAGCGTAATCGTTTGCGAAATAGTTGCACAACATGGAAATGTATTTTTTTGTATCTTTTATCAATATTGTTGATTTGTGCGCTTTTTCACCACTTTGTTTTGTTGTATTTAATCGTTTGCGTTAACTGCTTATTATACCCCTGCACAACGTGTATACAAGAATCAGCTTGTCCGCCGAATGACTTAAGATTCCTTTGACCCAAAGTCTTCATATTAAGTATAGAGATTGGTCATGATAAGTAAAGCCCTATTGATTTTGAGGTCAAAGGTAAAGGTCACAGGGACCTTGACTAAAAAAGCTTGTCCGCCCAATAACTTAAAACTTCTTTGACCCACAGTTTTTATGTTTGGCATGGAGGTTAGTCATGATAATTAGATGACCACTTTTGAATTTGAGGTCACTGGGTTAAAGGTCAAAGTCACAAGGACTTCAAAAACTTTGTCTGCCCAATAATTTCAGTTTCCTTTGACCTACAGTCTTCTTATTTGGCATGAATGTTGGTCGTGACCATTAGGTGACCCCCTGTTGAATTTGAAGTCACTCAATAAAAGGTCAAGGTCATCGTGGCCTTTAAAACAAAAAGCTTGCACACGCAATTACTTTAAAAAATGCTTTGGTCAACATTCTTCATATCTGGTATTAAGGTTTGTTATGACTAGTAGAGTACCCCTATTGTTTTTGAGATCACTAGGTCAAAGGTCAAGGACAGCAGGGCCTTTACTAAGAAAAGCTTGTCCGCCCATTAACTTAAGATTATTTTGACCCACAGTCTTCATATTTAGCATGGAGGTTAGTCATAATTATTAGATGACTCTTATTTATTTTGAGGTCACTGGGTGAAAAGTCAAGGTCCCAGGGGCTTTGACTTCAAAAGCTTGTCTGCCCAATAGCTTCAGATTCCTTTAACCCGCAGTCTTTCTATTTAGCATGGATGTTGGTCATGACCATTATGTGACCCCTATTGCTTTTGAGGTCATTGGTTCAAATGTCAGGGTCACAGGGGCCTTTAGTTCAAAAAGATTGTCCGCCCAATAACTTAAGGATCTTTTGACAATTTTCATAATCTTCATGTTTGGTATTGTGGTCCGTTATGACTTGTAGATGACCCCTATTAATTTTTAGGTGACTGTGTGAAAGGTCAAGGTCACAGGGGCATTTACTACAATAAGCTTGTCGGCTCAAATGCTTAAAAATGTCTGTCAACAGTGTATTGATTTTGACATTTCTTTTTCATTTGAAGCATTTAATTATATTCTCATATGTTCATAATAAAACACCCCAAGGCAAAGCTGCATATATGGGGAGGGGGGTTCAAGTCATTCACTGGCAGTTTCAGTTTTGAAGTCAGTAGGTCAAAGCTAAAGGTCACTTTTAACTTTGCCACTAAAAACATGTAGAATACATAACTTAGCAATGCACTTGCTTACTACCCTCAGATTTGGCAGAGAGTTTGTCCTTGAGATCTAAATGACCACTGTTGATTCTGACAAAGTGGTATGCGGGAGTATTCACGCCAAGACAGTGGCAATTTAAGTTTGTAATAAACACATTTCGGAAGCTTCAATAAAGTTGGTTAACTATTTTGATATGTCTATGCGCAAACAAATTTAAAAAGAAATCAAAGTTTGCTACTAAAATATGTAAGAATTCTTTTCGTATTTGCGAAAGAAGAGTATGTAATATATTGCCTTTATTGTAGCACATGTGAAATGCATGTGAATTGTGTATGGTAAAAATATTATAATCGAGTTATTATTTTATTTTGCAAGTGACTAACGTTGCATTCCGGAAACCCGCCTTTATGTCAAGTTTTGAGGACTATGAACCTTCAAAGCCAGAATATGGAAACGATGGTGATATCAGTATGTTTGAAACGAAATATTCCGATCCCCGGTGGTGGATGGTAGACCTCGCAGATATTTACAAAATTCACTTTGTCGTTTTAGTATCCAGACTAGATACCTCGTCCGACAAACATAGGGGTAATTTCTTTTAGAAACCTTTTTAAAAGTAGGAACCATACCTTCATTATTCAAGCCTCGTTACAGTTATGATATAGCCGTGTTATGGTTATTACGTTATAAAAGCACTCTAATGTTCGAACTTTATTTGATACAATTGGCCCACAGTGCTAGATTTTTCCTTAAAACGAGTGCCTTATTTAAAAATACCTATTAAAAAAAAAACTACCCCCACTAAATAAGAAGCTTCCCCCATTATAAGAAATGTCCTTGTCAACTGTGCGAAGGTTTAATATGTGAATATTTATTTCTTTTTTGTAAATTTTAATAAAAATAAAATTTTAGTTTCAGAATACCTTTACTTGTAATTTTCATGAAACCTTTACTTTTAATTTTCAATTTCACCCTTTATTGTTATTTTTAATGATATTCTCACTGATAATTTTCAATAATACCTGTTCTACGATAAATATTTGAAATGTTTCTAGAATTGTTATCAAAGAAAAGAAATTAATACATAATGATTATATTTCTACAAAAGTGGGAAACAAGATGTAAAATTACACCTCAAATTGTTCATGTCTTATTTATAGAAGCTCAACGAAATATAGAGATTTCTACAGGATTTGATAAGGACTCATTAAAACTAACGTTCTTCCATTGTGGGACAAAGAAGGAGTATGAGACTATACCATTTCATAATATACACACCCGCTACGTCAAACTGTCCCTGGTTTATTTAAGGTACACTAAATTTAGAGTGAGCGAAGTTGAGGTATACGGTGTTTTAGGTAAGAAACAAAAGTGAAAGATAAAATTTTGTATATAAATTAAATATCAGCGTGAGACATTTAACCTTAATTTATTATAGGTACTTCTGCGGTTTCCAAATTTTTTAGGTGTATAATTATAATGATATTATGGGATAGCTAAATGAATATTACTGTCCCTTAACCAATGATTCCAGCCTGGTCACACTGAACTGGTTGTAAACTGGTGGCCAGTTCTATAACAACTTCCCTCCCGATTCCGCAGGTGAAGGTTAAAAGAAATGATCTATGTTACATTTGACCAATTTGACAAATAATCTTTTAGTTTGGCTTTTTGAAAATGCACTGCAGTTCGAATAAGTCACAACAGTGGTGAGTAATGAAGTTAAATATTACGATAAACGTAGGGAACTCATATAGATAAAAAAGTTAGAAACAAATGTCGGTACAGCTATAAAAGAAAGGTATACTGAATGATTTATTTCTGAATGTTTCAATACTACATAAACAATTGCCCTGTGACATTTCATGCTATTTAATCATTGCTATTTTAATCATCAGTTTTCTTTATTTTTTATTGCTTGTTTTCAGACAGAATCATCGACCAGGAAAGAATAAATTATCACCGAAATCGCACACACGGTAAACATTTTTTTCTTTGTTCTGGGTTATAAGTGACTGCGACACTTTACAGGTGAATTTGCAGTTTTCCAAGTTGCACTTTGTAGGAACACGAGAACGTTACGTAAACTAATTTTGTAATCTCTTTAAACAACACAACCAAAGTTTTCACGCATGATTGGAACTTAAAGCAGCTAGGGTAAAAATCCTGCGAAGTCTGACATCTTAATTATTGTCCCTCGGGTGCCCCAACATTGTTTTATGTATCTGTATGTCAAAAGAAAAAAAAGATGCATATTTGGCAGTTTTTCAATGGTTTAATTTCAGATAAAATTATGTGGTTTGATGTCAACAGAAGCATCCATCAATCTCGATATAATTTATGTGAAAAGCCGGATATAAGTAAGGACTGTTTCTTTACAACATCTTGCACAACACATTGACAGACATATTCATGGTTACATTTATGAATAAAATGATTACTTTCCTTATCTATACACTTACTTCTTTACAACATTTCTAATAATGTATTGACATATGCATGGTTTCATTTGAATATTTTTATCCTTTCCTAATGCGAAATTAAATTTCGTAAAATGTCAATCATGATTAAAACAAATATCAGCAATTCCAATTTGTTACAAGATCAAGTATTATGTTATCAATACATTTACGTATAAATCAGAAAGAGTTGTTGGTCTATTTTCTAGATAGCGACTTTTCTATTTATTAATAAAACTATTCTAAAAAATAAATATATTTGTGATTTATTTCCTCATCTCAAGTTGGTATTCATTGCTTTTTACAATTTTAAGTTTTTTATGTTGGTCTTAAGCGTTTATTGTGAAGTCAGGCATTGATTTGTTATCTGCTCCTGTCATTTGAATATTTAGTACAGTCCCTGGGGACCGTTTGTGTGCAAAAAAGGTCCATGGATAAATGTTATACCAATGTAAAGCTAAATATTTGAAGTTTACAAAAATTTTGGGTAGACATGTCAAATCATGGTACGATTTGAGAAATCCAAGATGGCCGCCAAGATGGCCGCCAAATTATTGAAAAATGGCTAATACGCATTTTATCTGATAAAATTGGTTCTTTTTTGTATTAATTTTAGTATAAATGATGTAAGAACTTCAAATCCTTTTGAAACAATATGAAAATGGAGACATTTCCATTATTTATTCATATTCTCTGAATTTCATTGATAAAATTTGCTAAAAATTGCATGAAAAAATTACCAAAAATTGATATGGGGCTGATATTTTTTCCTACCAGCTAAGGCATAGCGGTGAAAATGAATATTTTTACCATAGACCACAAAGACTTGAACAATATCATACTAATATCACCCTTATTTTTTATCTTTATTGTAAAAGAATGTGGATTCTGATATTGTTAAAGTGGGTGGGGTAACGAAAATTAAGTCTCAGTATTTTGTTAACTGGTTTGTTATGATAATTAAAACTATGAATAGTCAACATGTTTTGCACTTTGGCATGTACCTAAAGTTATAAATAATTAAGAACCTTAGACTGATATTTTGTTTATCAATATTCAACATGTTCCGTTGCCATAGCAACGGAGAAGTAAAATGAAAGACACACCTGAAACGTATAACACTTTCAACTTTTAGCATTTTAAGCATGTTGATAAAAATGACACAAATTTAAAGATAAATAATCTGTGCACAATGCCATGATAACAAATTGAAAAAATGTAACATTAAAAGTAGTCATATTTAATTCTAGCAAATTATCAACACAGATAACATCCGATATTTTGAAATTAGATGAATAAATTTATTTCAAGAATTTGCATCATGCATTTGCTTTTTTTAAACTGCTATACATAGAAAAAGGTCATGTCAAATGTGCATGTTGTTATGTTTGGAAAGGATAATTAATGGTGATAATAATAAGTAAAAACATAGAAAAAGGTCATGTCAAATGTGCATGTTGTTATGTTTTGAAAGGATAATTAATGGTGATAATAATAAGTAAAAGGCAGTCTTAAAGTAGAAATGTATATGAACATTATCAAATGTTTGAAAACATTTAAGACTTTGTAGCTAAAACGAGAAATAAGTAGGTCACTGGTCAACCAATATCAAATTTTTATGACAATCAAATTTATTGTTGAGTTCAAACTTTTTGGTTGTAGCTTGTATTATGAAACTCTAACTTGCATTAGATTAAATTCTAGGTCAACTGATCTCAGTGTATAATTCTGCATCTGAAATTTTTACAATCAAAATACAATGAGATCACTAGAACAGATTAAGGTCAGCTGGCATGTCATATTGTGTCTGTTATCCCAATTTTTTTAGCTTCAAAAACAAGAAAGTAGGTCACGAGGTCTTAAATTCTAGGTCACCTTATACCAGTGGGGCCATGATTTGAACAATCAAAGAAGAACACAAGACAATTCTTCCAACCAAATGGTCTTGCATTGTGGTTTCTGACATAAAGAGTTTTTGTTATATAAAAACCGACATCTAGGCAGGGCCATTTTTATGGTCTCGGAAAAATTTCGGGGGAGCATATAGTCGCCGGGCGTGTGTCTAAAACCTAGTCGGGGAGCATCACACGGTTCAACGGGCTCTTCTTTTAATACAGACTCATGATCATTATTTGATGCCTGCAAACTTAGCACTTTACGGAGAGTGTCGGATGTGAAGTCCAGGCGTCTCTTGTTTCACAGACAACAATTGATCTCGGACATTGAGTTTTACGGTCATTTGTCTGTCAGAAAAGTTAGTACCGTAGCTTAGTAGTAATTTGTCATTACTCTTCTGGCTATTTATCCATGAAAGTCAGATCGTTTAACAGACCTTCAAGGTATCACCAAAGAAGTGTTGAAATTGGCGTGTAACCCAGGCCCGGCCCTATCATGATTTGAAGAAACATTGTAAAAGTCTTCTAGAAATTATTTCACATGCTCTAAACAATGGGGTTAAAGGGATGATTTTATAAAGGATTTTATATATAAGTTAGACTATGTAAATCAATTGACCCTTGGGAAAGGATATAATCAAACGGACCATGACTTAACCAAGCTTAGTAGTTGTGTATTATATCGTGACATAAATTGATATGGTCATAGAATGAATGAGTCACACTTAAATATCAAAGCATTTTATTTATGGAGAAGAAAGCTTTCAAAGCCTATTCTTTATAACACAAAGTAAAATGACTCCTGGGGTTAGGTCAACTTTGACCAGATTGTCAAGATTTGAAAAATAAATTAAGGTCTTTTTGACAATGCTTTTAACCCAAAATCTAAGATCTGGGCATTTGGTTTTGGAAAAAAATATGATTCTAAAAAGTTTTCCTATGTGTCTCCATATGAAATAAGTTGACACTAGGGGTAGGTTAAATTTTCATTTGAATAAATTTTGTACTGGTCTATACAAGGCTACAACAGAAATAATTAGCTTTTTTTTAAATAAGTTTTTTTTAGCTTTTCCTACATGTAAAATGAAGTGACCCCTGGTATAAATGAATTTGACCACAAGGTAGTAATTTAAGCAAATTTAATAGTATTCTATACTAGGTCCTGCAGTTATGGAGAAGAATATTTTCATGTTTTTCCTATATTTACACTGTGTAAAGAAAGTTTACTCCGGGGCTGCGCAAGGAACATGAATGTGTACTTCTTGACCTTTTACCACCATGACCTTGATGTTGTGTCATGCATATCATAAGCACCAAGTCTCACGATGGTGATTATTTGTGCCAAGTTATTTAAAATCGTCCATAAAGTCAAAAAGTTATGGAGAACATATAACCTTGACCTTGGTTGCAGCAACCTGGATGTTGAGGTCTGTAGATTGTGTCGTGGTGGGGATCATTTGTGCTAAGTATTTTTAAAACCTTTGAATTGTCAATAAGTTATAAAGCGTTAAGATGTTTTTACATTGGACCGTTAAGTATGACCCTGACCTTCAGGGTTGTGACTTGAATATTGTGCTCTGCCAATGGTGTCATAATGTTGATAATTTCTGCCAAGTTATCTTAAAAACATTTCAGAGGTTTAAAAGTTAGAGACAGACACGAAATGTAGACTTTATAACATATGACCTGTAAGTGTGACCCTGATCTTTGGGGTAGCAATTGAATTATTGCGATCTGCACATCGTCTTATAATGGTGATCAATTGTGCCAAGCTATTTAAACAAAAATTTCATAGGTTTAAAAGTTATGGAGGGGACACGAAATGTAGATTTTAATACATTTGACCTTAACCTTTGGTGTAGCAACCCAATCTTTGCGTTCTGCACATATTCTAATACTGGATATCAATTGTGCCAAGATATTTTTCAAAAATTCAGCGGTTAAAATGTTGGATCGAACACGAAATGTGGACTTTTTAACATTTGACCTTAATGTGTGACCTTGACCTTTTGGGTAGCAACCCAATTATTGCGCACTGCACGTCGTGTCATAATGGTGATCCCTTGTGGCAAGTTATTTCAAAACTTTTCAGCGTTAAAAAAGTTATGGAGACGTTTTAATCATTAAATGAAGACTTTTAACATCTGACCCTAAAATTATTGCGCTCTGCATATTGTCTCATTATGGTGATCACCTGTGCCAAGTTATTTGAAAAAATTTCAGGGGTTAAAAAGTTATGGAGCGGACACAAAAGTGTTACGGACGGACGAACTGACAGACGGAGGCCACTCCTATAATCCCCTTTCCGATACGCGGAAGGTGATAAACAATGTTGGTTTAGTCCCATCTGAAAAAGCCATACATATAAAAGCTCAAGATCTTTTTATTTATTTCTGGGAATATTTGAAAACATTTCGCATTGTCAGTTCTATTTTAAACTTCTGTGACTAAGATATACAATAATCCGATTTGTGCAAAAAACAACAACAGCAAAACAAAAGTTCTGTCAAATTTTATCAAATATAGCCTATTTTTACGTCACATCAACACTTTAAAAGGCTTTGTGGCGACTTTCCTACTGAGGAAGACCTGAATATGTTTCCCTCCGTGCATTATTTCATAATATTGACACCTTCTGGTCGTCTTTTAAGGCAAATCAGAATTACAAAGTCTATAAGAAATTGAAATCTGGCTTATTCAAATAAAGAAAACATTAAAATTGTTTGTAAAATAAACAAAATCAAAGTCATATGTTCATCCTGATTCCAAATTCAAATACGTCCTGAACTTAATCTTAATTTGGAACACACTAGTGTTCATGTGCATTATATGCTACCGAACAATTTGAGAAATGCTGTTTTTCCTCATCTGAAATTACATAGCAACTATGGTTTTAAGAGTGCTTTTTTATAATGACTTATTTAAAACAGAAAGCTTATATTTTTTGGATACGTTCAGCCGCGGGTTACTTCACATGATTTACTGATATTTATTGATGATGAGAAAATAACGAAACTGTAACAGTTGATATGATTACGAATGTCTTTGAGATTTTATTTGAATGCTTACCTGTGTATCAGTTATAGCTTATTACTACGTGACGACAATTTACATACTTTTTTGTGTGAGTGGAACAAAAATCGCTCCCAAAGTTTTACAAACACATATTTTTCTTACAACTGGTAAAAAACGGTCGAAAACAAAAGCAAAATCTATCATTACACCAAATTTATGAAGTGCTTTTCTGATGTATACAACATGTTTAAATGCGTTAAAATCAACAAATTTATATCATAGTTATAAACATTAAGAAAGAATACTCAACATTAAATGAAATTTCAACAATTATACAAATCTAGATATGACTATGTAAAACTATTTGCATATAAACAGACTATTAAATTCTTTTCAACGTGATTTATAATAATATTATGAAACAGACCGCCATCTTCTTAAATAGTCACATATTTCTAAAGAACGAAATGAGGCTGCAGTAACAAAACTCATATTGTTTACATATCGGAATTACTTATATTGTATTATTAATTTGAGACTTTTAAGTTTTAGTTTTGTGTACGTTCTTCTGTGGCTTGTTCTTAATGTATACTGGAGTTTGTCCCTACTGTATCCGGTAAAACAATGGAGATTCTATACAATGTTTAATGTGTCTAAATGGAGGCGTTGTTTTTGGTAATAAGACAAGATGCCATTTGATGAACAGTCCGGAGTTTGTCAATGATGATTTAAGACATACTGACCGTATAACGAAGCATAATGTGGTATGACCTGTAGGTCACAAAATAATTTGTAAAGAATTTTGAGGTAGCGGTGGAATATGGCCTATTTGTTTTGCGTAACAAGACATCTATACATGATTTATAATTTATGCTGCTCTATTTTTTTTTTTTAGAATAGAAGAAAGTGTCAAATTTTAACACAATACGGTGATTTTATCCATGTTTCTCCAACTGTTAAAATATTTATCAGATGGGCTTGTATTGCATTGAGATGAGAACACAATCATTTAGGTTTTTGAGATGCATCCATGGCACATTATGGGGCGTCCGTGGCCGAGTGGTTAAGGTCGTTGACTTCAAACCACTTGCCCCTCACCGCTGTGGGTTCGAATCCCGACAGGGACTTTGGATTCTTTCATGTGAGGAAGCTATCCAGCTAGCTTACGGAACATCGGTGGTTCTACTCAGGTGCCCGTTCGTGCCTGAAATAATGCACGGAAGGGCACCTGAGGTCTTCCTCCACCAGTAAAGCTGGAACGTCGCGATATGACCTATACTGTGTCGATGTGACGTAAAACCCAAAACAAACAAACATGGCACATTATCTTGAAGACGTTCTTCATCACAACATATTGACATATTGTCTCTTCCATTTGATATGTTGGATTTTTTTTGCTTTATTTGTTATTTATTATTATTATTATTATTATTATTTAATGACCAATAAATAAAGAATGTTGAAAATTTTTTTTCTCAAATCGGGTCAAATATCAAGCATAAATTTTATTTTTCAATATAACTCTGAGTAGATTTCATTATTATCTTTTGCCTCTAAAACTTTAAGCGTTTTTATTGTTACAGTAACTGTTCATCAAATGTTACCGATGTTTTAATTCAAATTTGTGTTTTTTCATGGAAAGTAAATGTAGTGAAATTTGAAATGATTTTTTTTTTATGTTTCAAATGTATCCAACTCTGAATTCTGTAATGCATAATCATGACATTAACTTCTACAACATGCTTGAAATGATAAAACTGAAAGCCTCATACCTTTCCGGGTTTCTCTCATTTTACCACTTTGTTGCCATGGCAACAGAACCAATTAATGTTGTTGGTAGAATGCAAATCTACCTTTAAAAAAATTAAAGACTTAAGAACATTTCAAAATGTAATCTTGTTGGTTATTCTTAGTCTTAATAATCGTTATATATCAGTTCACTAGAAATTGGGACTCAATTTTCGTGTACCCCACCCACTTTAGGAATGTCAGAATTCACATTCTTACACAATAGAAATAAAAATAAAGGTACAATTAGTAAGTTGTTGATCATGTCTTTGTCATATATGGTAAAAATATTCATTTTCACCACTATGCCTCGACTGATAGGAAAAAATGCCAGCCCCATGTCGATTTTTGATACTTTTTCGTGCTTTTTTAGCAAAATTTCTCTATGAAAACAAGAGTATATGTATAAGAAAATGAAAAAGGACCCTTTTCCATATTGCTCCAATAGGATGTGAAGTTTTAACATCACCTGTACCAAAATAAATACAAAAAAAAACTAATTTTATCAGATAAATTGCGTATTAGCCATTTTTCAATAATTTGGCGGCCATCTTGGCGGCCATCTTGGGTTTCTCAAAACGTACCATGATTTGACATGTCTACCCAATTTTTTTGTAAACTTCAAACATTTAGCTTTACATTGGGATAACATTTATCCATGGACCTTTTTTGCACACAAAAGGTCCCCAGGGACTGTACTTATTCTGCTCTTTTGATTTCCTTGTAGAAAATTCGGAGTACAGTAGTTGGTCAGCTTGGAAAAACTGCTCTGCAGTTTGTGGAGTAGGGACGAGAAAGCGTACAAGACATTGCATCCTTAATGAAACCAGATATTGTTTAAGAGATGACATTGGTCTTCAGAAATGTGTAGGGGCTGGAAATTGTCCAGGTAAGAACGTGTCAATGATGCCATTTTGATTATAAATCAATAGCTTTTTTTACTTTGTTAGCTTAAATGTTATAAATATATCAAATAAGTATATATTTGTACATTTTTGTTAAGTAAATGTTTTAAAATTCGGTGTCACGTAGAACTATTTTGGGTATATATAAAACATTTGTTCTTTATCTTGCAGTTTGTGTCTTCAAATTTAAGAAATGCTATAGCTTTTTTCCCGAGTTGACAACTTGGAAAAATGCCCACACTGAATGTTGGAGACGATATATGGCACTCGTATCTATAAATTCTTTAGAAGAACTTCAGTTTGTCAAGTATAAATTACGGGAGAAACGGTATTTAGATATGTCTGGAGAAATTCAAGTCATATCAGAAAAAATGAATGCCAGCTTTTATGCCCATATCGGTTTGTTTTGTTTTTTTAGTAAATTGATTATTTTTGTTTTCTTCATACCGTGGAATATATATTAAAAAAACGATGTTTCTTGTTTGTTTGTCTATGTGATGGTTTCACAATTTAATTATAAATCTCTATTGCGCTTATACTAGATGGCATGAATTATGAAGTATTGTTGTCACAGTCTGTCGGACTCTTAGACTGGTCTATAAATTTCAAACTTTGTGAGATAATAAATTTTATAAACGAAGCTTCGTTGTTCAAAAAATAAATGTTTGAAACACATCTTCTATCTGACATTTATCTTAAAACGAAGAGTGGCTTAAAAAATTTCGTTTCTTGCCATGTTTATATTTTTTCAGGGCTTCACAGACGGAATACATCCTTTATCAACAATCAATTTCTCTGGAACGATCTCTCAAAAGTTATATATAATGCATGGTCAGTAGTTTTCATAACATCAAATTAAATAGTTTGTTATTAACAGAGGGGTGAATATCGTGCATGTGTAAGAAAGACGTAAAGAAGTTTTACACGTGGCATGTGAGATTAACCCATAAGATTTTCATACACCGTCATTTTTATAAAAAAAAATCTATCCAGTAAATTAGAATGAAATGTCTGTTTGTTTTTAGGTTTGTATTAAACATAAGCTTACTTTCAGTATATGTTATTTCATTGATAGGAAACAAGGAGAACCTACTGGGGGAGACTGTGTTAGAATGAACTACCAGTTTTATGAACCAAACAATACTTGGGAGGCCGAAGACTGTTTGCAAACTCTTGCAGATTATTTTGTCTGTGAAACAGCTATAGAAAATGAAGCTGACGGTAAGCACATACAAAATGTTTCTATACATAAATGTTACATATATGTTTGTAAAATATGCGAATTTATTAGTTAACATTTGTATCAAATAAACTTGCATTGAACAATCTTACATTCTTAGAATCGTCTTCTCTACGATGTTTGACACAATTACATGTACCTATTTTTATCAACGTGTGCAATATTGTATGTAGAAGAAATGTGTTAACACAAAGGTAGAATTTATTTGATAATGTGTATAAGCGAGTGAATCGTTCAAATCGACTAATTCCACACTTAAACATTCTATGAAACGAAATCAAGTATTTCTTGACGTACAAATTGGCAAATGTTACTATTAATAATGTCAAGGTTTTTTGTCAGGCAAACACAATGACTGAAACATTAGTACAGGCATATTTTTTGATGTACATGTATATCAATGATGCTTGTATATGAGATATGTCTTAAATCAGTACAATCGCTGATACTTACCTTGTGATTATCACAAATTCTCATTGCCAAGTTTACATTTATGCACAACAATATTCATCATTCCAACGTTTCAAAAATTAAAAAAAATACCAGTGGAAATTCAATATATTATTCATTTCAACAAATAAGTATATGATACGAATACTGTTTAAGTTTCTTATCAAGCATTTGATATCTAATTAGTTTCGGCAATATCAGAAAACAATGTACGATATCAGAAATATAGCAGCAATGACTGGAAAATAGTGAATGAACAGATACGCACAGGCGATTACCGTGGAACTTTAAATACGAGTCAAAAAGGCGAAGATTGTTCACCATGGCCTAGATCTACAAAGTATAAATCCATGGAAGAAAATTTTTGTCGGGACCCACTTGAACTTGGTGAACTTGTGTGTTTCACAGACACCGGCCAACTAAGCTTTTGTCCTTTTATACGTACGTAGATATACACTTTAAAGTTGTATCTTTCCTTTCTTTATAAATAAAGGTCCACTTCTATATGTTTAATTTAATGACAAGTAAAATAAATAATATTTGGGCCTGGATTGAAACTTTGTGAAGAGTTCACTTCTTTTTGTGACTTAATACGAGTTTATCTTGATTCATTATTATGCATTAAATGTTGTCAACTTTGGTCAATGGTGTTATATTATTCCGTGCCATGTTTAACAAATCTTTACTGGTCTGTCCAAATTGTATTTCATTGAGCAGATGTCTTTAATTGGATTGTACGTCAGTATCAGAATTGGTCTTCTATAAACTTTGAAAGTACATGGCATTCTGGTTATGTTAGATCAGGCTAAAAAGAGTTGAATGTAATCAAATTCAAAATTCTATTTATCAGTTGTAAGAAATATCTGCCGAAGCATTGTCCATTTGGCACAGTATATCTTTACGATAGTTTTCTTTATTAAGAATATTTTTGGAACTTAATTAAGAAGGTCAATTGTCACGTCACGTTCAATTAGTATGTTTTGTTTGACCATTACACTATAGGTAACTTGTCCTCTTTCTTATTTTACCGTTTACTAACGTCCATGCGATATGACACAATACAACTTTTCTATGTTCGTATGACATTGTATCTAAAATATATTAATAATATAATTCAAAATTTTATTGTAGATATATTGTATTGATCAATGTATTATAACATTTTGTAAGAATATAGTTTTCTTACTTACTTGCTTTTAGATTAATTACTTTTCGATGTTTACTATTTTGTTTTACAAACTATTAGTTCAGGATAACGCATCATCAATTGCACATTATCTCACAAGCATCAAATTATATCATTTAAGTGCCTGAAATGGAAGAGCCAAGTTTCTCTGTTCTTACATACATCGGGACGTTGGATACTACATACAGAGGTAGAACATGTAGGAGATGGGATTCTACAATATTTCTTTACAGAGATGTAGATTTTCGAAGTGAAAATGTATCAATCGTATCGAATTATTGCAGAGATCCTTTCAACTATGGTTATCTTTGGTGCCACACATCGGATCCTATTTTTCCGACTGAACCGTGCTTGACGACAGGTAAAAATTGTGTTTGAAGAAAAGCCAGAGCATTTCATTTTTACCTGTTTTTTTCCCTAAATATTCAGCACCATTCTATTAATGAAGATTAATAGAACTAATGATAGGACCAACTGTGGATAAAGGTCACTTTCAAAATCACACAACATAAGCTAAAGCATATTTATTCTTTCCACTCAAAACATATTAAATTGGTTTGCCCATCTCCTGATCTGGACAAAACTATCTTTTTAGTGCAATTATTAAAATTCAATAGTTTAACCGAGTTGAAAACAGAACGAACCATTATCGCCGGCTGGTCTGCGCCCACAGCATTAGTAGAATAAGTTACAACAGTAATAAGGTTAGGGCAATATAAAAGACGAAAGAAGTTTTGTCAAATTGTATAACGATGACAATAAATTAAACATATTTCAATTGTTTATACATTTATTCTGACAGCGAATTCTATTTCGAAATAAAACTTATCAAATGTAATTCTATTGCGAAGTTAAACAAATCAAATGTACAAAAATGTTTGCAGACAACTGGACGGGTAGATGTGCTAATAAAACCTCAAGATATAACGGATATAAGAATACCACATACTCAGGAAATGAATGTAAAAATTGGACCAGTCCTAGATCATTCCTTGATGATAGGAAAGATCAACAATTTATCATCAAAGAGTGGTTAGATGATAATTATTGCCGAGATCCTTTCAATAACGGATATGTCTGGTGTTACACTGGTGAGACGAATGCCGAATGGGAACCTTGCGATATAACAGGCAAATATGTTAAATAATTAAACCATTAACATAAAGTTTATGGATGGGTGGGGGGGGATAAGCAGAAAGAAGTAAATACGTAATCGTGATAGTACCGTTAAGATTGCTTTCCAAAATTGATTTAATATTAAAATTTATTAATCTTGACCGTGATTTTTTGTTTTGTTTAAGTAAATTACCTTTAAACTATAATAATGTATGATGTTTTAATGTGCTGGCGACGAGTTCGTATATTAAAAATATTTGATAAAAAATAGTATGCCGTAATGATATGCAATTAGTTAAGAAACGATAAAGAAGTAACTGCCTCTGAACATTTAGATGAGCATTTTACTAGCGAAGGTAAAACTACAGAATTCGTGAATATAAGCATGGAATCGTTCAAATGCTTGAATGGACATTCAATATCCTATAACAACAAATGCGACGGCAAGTTTGACTGTGAAGACTTGTCTGACGAAACGTCTTGTCTGAGTGACTTCAAAGGTGAGAAGTATAAGGTCCCGTTGGATGATTGTTGTTGTTGGTGTTTTTTTTTATCTTTTTTGTTGTTGTTCTTGTTGTTGTTTCTGTATTGAACTGCAAAACAGTGTCTTATCTCCGTTATTTAATTGATAATAAGTATGGTCTTCGTATCACTGTCCTGTATAATGGTGTTTTATGTTGCGTCTGTAAAAAGACAACAAATTACTTATGACATTTAGATGTTTGTTAAGGATGAAGGATGAACAGTCTTTTTGGAAATTCGCCATCCGCCTGAATGAGTTACCGACTTTAATTATATGTAAACGCATTTTTCATCAGCTTCCTCTATTTTTGAAACAACTGATATTACAATATCATGACAATGAATGTTATGGAAGTGCTAAAATAACTTATTACTTGTAAAACATGGAGTAAGTGAAATCATTAATCTATACATGCTAAACTTGAGTATCCTAAAACATTTATGTTGTTAAGATAGTACATCTTAGTGAATGAACTATTATCTTAAGATCAGAAAAAAATTCTAACGACTATCAAAACTTGACTTGTCTAACCTTATCAAAATATTCTAGAGCACCCATTACACCAGAAAGGAAGCGTATTTCTTTCCTTACCGGGGCATCTTGAAATCAACTCATTCTTTCAATGTGGAAGCCAGGAATGGGTATCCATTATATCAAAATGTGACAAAGTTAAAGATTGCGCTGATGCATCCGATGAGATAGGCTGTTCGAAAAATGGTATAATAAAATCAATGTGTTTGAAAATATGTTGTGAAAATACTAAAAAAATAGATATTGCAAATCAATCCAATTCTAAGACATTTACTCTAATATTTTCCGTTGCTCAAGTTAAGTCTCCACTTCTGACGTTTTTTTTTTTTTTTAAGAAAATCGCTGTCAACAATTTTCTTATAAAAACGGAATTAACCTCCAATAAAACGCCTCATATTTGAATTTTCAGTTAATATATATATTTGTCTGATAAGGAAATTATAAATGAGCATTTTAAAACTTTAAACCTTTTACGCCTTGCACAATTCAGTAATAAAATCAAAATGTGTCAGAATACATTTATTATAATAATGTACTTCAGGACAATGTGAAGAAGATGAATTTCAATGTTCAGATGGTGATTGCATACATGCCAGTCAAGTTTGCAATCATATCATAGATTGTGTGGACTCTACAGATGAATATTGTGGTAAAGTATATTATCAAAATTATTGTAAAAGATTGTCGTCTTTACCTTTATTGAAATACTAATTAATTTGGCTATTTTTTTGGATTTAAGCAGGTATTGAAAATTGTCTAATTCCATTGCTGAAAGAAGACATTATAGTGCTGCAAATTCATAGGGTAAAATGACACCGAAGTGGTCTATGTCAGCCAACAGCAAGTTTTATATACCAAATTGTTCGTCTCGGTCTGTAGTTTCCGGAATGAATATTCATTTGGTTCAAGTCCGATGCGTAGCTTAAAAATCCAAGATGGCGTCAAAGATGGCCGCCAAATCCCTAAATAATCTAGAATATTAATATTTGCTCATATTTGTTTCCGCTTTTGTATTTCAAGTGAAATTTTTGCACGGAAGATATCATTTAAAGCGTTTTATACGAAGAGATTTAATTTTATTTGAGAAAACAGATTGCTTTTTGCTTTTTTTATACGTAATTAAGCAAAATAATGCTAAACTTATGGGTTTTTGCTATGATACTCTTGTCTTAGCTTAAACAGAGAAATATTTATTACTTATTTTGTTATTCCACTATTGTAATGTATTCATGAGAGTAATGCTTTAATGCATTCATATCATATCTTAAGAAATCTTTCTTTGTAATTATGCAGTAAGACATATAAAAATGAGAGGCGGTACATTAAATAGTTTTTCAATGTAAGGTTGTAACTGGTACTTATTTGTTCTATATCAATTATTTCCCCAAATTTTGTGTTTCTGTCAAATTATAGCTTCTTTAGTGCAGTCCATGTAACTGATTAACATAATAAACCAGGAATATGACAATTTGCTTCTGGTTATTTAATGAATTATTGTTCAAATCGTACCCCACCCACTATGAATAAAAATCTAAAGAAACTCTGACCCCTCGATTATACTGATTATATGGAATGACAATATTTACGTAAGTTAATAAACATAAGGTGATTTTCAAAGTGTGATACTATTACAGGTATCCTGTCAGATCTAAAAATCTGTTCAAAAATGTGTTACCAATTTAATAAGCATGATTTTGTTGTAAGTTCACCTAAGGATTTGAAAAGTACAATGTATGCAAAACAACCTCTGCTCATTTATTTATATGTTACACACCTTTTTATGTCAAATGAAATGTAATTTATTTTTTAAAGTTTCTTAAATTGACAAAATAGTCATTTAAAAAGTTTGATATTTTATCTACATAGATCATTACTCTGTTGACCTTCGGTTTCATGAAACATGCATAGTAGTCGGATAAAACATAATGTTTATATGAAAATCGTTCTTGGCATTATAATTGTGTTTGTGCTATTTTAATTCCTTCTATTTGACCTTTTTCGAGTTGTGTGGTTCTAGTATTTCTTTTTAAATAGTGTATAATAACCCTTTGGATAAATAGTGTATAATAAGCCTTTGGATATGTTACCTGCTTTTAAAGATTATATTTTGACCTTTGATCCCGTTATATAAATCCATTTTATTTAGTTTCGCCCATTGTTCTCTATTTCTTGTGGACAATATGTTGTATGTCGTGAAATTGCACGAACATTTTACATTGAAGATACCATGATCACTTTCGTATGAATACATCTGTGGACGTGTCTTCACTTCCTTTAAAAGTGTACCAGTTTATGTAAAATTGAGAATTCTGCTTAAGCCGGTGCTAGAGGGTGTGGATGGTAGGTAACTTGCAATTACCACTACCGGTATGTTCCTATATGACGAAACAGTGTAAATAAAATAAATCCCCGCCAAGTAAAATTCTAACAATTGTTATGGTTACATTAGACGAAATAAATAAAATACATACATGATCGTGTAAATATGTACAATTAAGGTACAGCCTAATTACCATAACCAAAGTACTCGATGCCTTAAAGGAAGGCAGAGCAACAAGAACATCACTTACCAAGACAGAAGACGAAATTAAAACAATTAAGAACGCACAAAACGTCAAAAACGAAAATGTTGCAGGCTCGGTTTGATTGAGCCTGTTCATGAACGGCACTGTCAAGTGCAAACTACAGTACACGCCCCCTAGCACCGAATTAAGCAGAATTCAACATTTAATCATGGTTACGGTGAACTTTTGGATTTAGAAACAACCGCAGACGCGCTTATAATGTGGTTATCATGAAACACGTTAGTGTCATTCCATAAAAAGCGGCGTATGGTCCCCAAGTACAAGAATGTGTGTGCCCTAAACAAGAAAACAACGAGCGGAACTAAATAAAATGGAACTTTGAAAGGGGATCAGAGGTTATGAAATAGATAAATATAGAATCCCTAAAGAAAGCCCAACACGGCAAAATTGAAAATGTTGCAGGCTCGGTTTGATTGAGCCTGTTCATGGACGGTACTGGAAAGTGCAAACTACCGTCCACGCCCCCTAGCACCGGCTTAAGCAGAATTCAACATTTAGACGTGAAATAGTAAAATTTTGAATTTAGAAACATCCGCAGATGTATTCATACGGCGGTTATCATGGAACCTTCAAAGTGACACTTTCGTGCCATTCCATGAAAAGCGGCGTATGGTCCCCAAGTAATAAAAAGCGTGTGCCCTAAACGAGAAAACAATGGGCGGAACTAAATAAAATAGAATTTTGAAAGGGGATCAGAGGTTATGAAGCCTGCGTATCACAGATAAGACGTCAAAAGACAAATTTAAAAAGCAGGCAACATATCCTAAGGGTGATTCAACATTATTCAAGAAGGAATATTGGAACCACCCAACTAGAAAATGCCGAAAAGTTGAAACTAAAAATACCGTAAGCACAACAATAATGTCGTGCTGAACGATCTTCAAGGATCGAAAATATAACATCATTGATTAAATGTACGGGGAGACTTTTTACAGCCGCCACACGGCACAAATAACACGGATGTGATCATAAAATAGATAAATATAGAATCCCTAAAGAAAGCCCAACACGGCAAAATTGAAAATGTTGCAGGCTCGGTTTGATTGAGCCTGTTCATGGACGGTACTGTAAAGTGCAAACTACCGTCCACGGCCCCTAGCACCGGCTTAAGCAGAATTCAACATTTAGACGTGAAATAGTAAAATTATGAAGCCTGCATGCCACAGATAAGCTGTCATCTCCACATAAATCAGGCCTGCTTATACCTAGACGTAAAAGAGTTTTTAAAGTACAATTAAATTTTAAATATATCTGAATTACGACGACAGGACTTTGTAAAATATTTACGTAATTTATGATAGCGATAGCCTTGTTTACGTTCACTTAGATATATTTAAGATTTCACTTGATCAAATTTGATTATTCATGTTAAGGATATCATCTAGGTAGCGGTAAGTGCTATTTAATGCAACGTATAGCTTCCGGTTGTGAAATAGGAGAGAGACTTAACATAAAATCCCTCTAGTAACAATATAAAAGTAAATAAAGTAAACTAACATGTCATTGACATTATGATTGTAAAAATCAGGAAAAGAGAAGATCCTTTGAGAGCAATTAAACATGGCAAAGTTGATAATTCAAACTCAGTTTGATGAGGTCTGTTCATGAGACACCATATCTCAATAAAATAGATAAATACAGAATCCCTAAAGAAAGCCCAACACGGCAAAATTGAAAATGTTGCAGGCTCGGTTTGATTGAGCCTGTTCATGGACGGTACTGGAAAGTGCAAGTTACCGTCCACGCCCCCTAGCACCGGCTTAAGCAGAATTCAACATTTAAACGTGAAATAGTAAAATTTTAAATTTAGAAACATCCGCAGATGTGTTCATACGGCGGTTATGTCTCTTAGTACCGACTAAGTAGTATCCAATCCTCAACTATAAAAGTTTTGCAATCAATGATCCCGAAAGACCAAGTCGTCCGGTTAGCTCAATAGGTAGAGCGTTGGACTGTAAATCGGGCAACCTGTGTTTTATTCCCGGACGGGGTAGGTCACTTTCGTTGTGATTGATCATGAAATAGTTTCTACGTTATTCGCACTGTACCACTGCTCTGCTATGTACAGAAGTTTCAGTTCCTTGCGAAAGTGGGGCAACTAGAACTGGTAAAATAGATAAATAAAGAATCCCTAAAGAAAGCCCAACACGGCAAAATTGAAAATGTTGCAGGCTCGGTTTGATTGAGCCTGTTCATGGACGGTACTGGAAAGTGCAAGTTACCGTCCACGCCCCCTAGCACTGGCTTAAGCAGAATTCAACATTTAAACATGAAATAGTAAAATTTTGAATTTAGAAACATCCGCAGATGTGTTGGTAAACTGCTTGACAGCCTGCCCATGAACGATTCGGTGGCTGAACTGTGCTCTGGTAAATTCAATGTGGTTACTGCCGTGATCCGGATTGAAAACTACCGACACAAACATCACCATCCCGAAGGACCTATTAATATAACACTGTTAACCTGCTGTTGCAGACTCGGTTTGATTGAGCCTGTTCATGGACGGTACTGGAAAGTGCATGTTACTCTGCGCCCCCTAGCACATAGTATTACTATCAAGTACCCGCCAGGGAAAAGATTAGCTATTTTCGTCCAAGTGAAAGCTCTTCTTAATTCCTCCCATGAAGTTAACAACAAACTTGAAACAAAATGCTCAAAATCATACACAGGAGCTGTCAGTAGGACAGCGTGCTCGACTATTCTCAGTGCTTGATAGTAAAAAAATGGGACATAATATTGTAAAAAAAGCTTGATACAGTGACCTCCTCTGTACACAGGTTGAGATTATGATGGTGAACAAGTGTGCAAGGTCTCAAAGCGATATGTCGATGGAATTTTGAAATTATCTGAGTACGTGGTACTGTAAATTCAAAGTTGAAAAAAGGGGCATAATTCTGTCAAAATGCTTGATAAACCTCGTGGAGGGCATGATGGTAAACAAGTGTGCAAGTTTCAATGTCATATGTCAATGGACTTTGAGATGGTACGCAAACTTTAACGCCGACGCTCGGGCGACTAGGATAGTTGTCCTTAATCGTCGAATAGTTCACTCAATATATATATATATATATATATATATATATATATATATATATATATATATATATATATATATATATATATTTATATTTATATAATATTTTATTCATAATTCAGATCCAGTCTAGCAGAAAAGTCTCTTACTGTAAACTGAATAACCTACCCATTTTAAATGTTCTAGCAAATTACATTTTACATTTTAATGTATATATTATATCCGTCATCAATAATGACAAAACTCCAAATATGGTTCAATTGTAGATTATCATATGTTAAGCCAATGCCTTAAAACAAGAGCTGCATGTCAGACAGCACGCTCGAATATTTAAAATCAACAGCCTGCATAATAAAGAAATTCTCTTATTCATAAAGTAGTATAACTCTTTGAAATAAAAACATGTTAGAGGGAAGTAACCTACAATAATGATGGTTGTGGAGATTAATCTTGTCCGAAAAATTCTGTAAGTTAATAAATAGATATTATTATTTCCTAATAAATGCTTAGCTTATGGGTCTTGAACAGTGACCTACAAGTATAATCAAAATCACATTTGAAGACTAACAATGAATGTTTATGGCTAAGGAGAAACAAACTTGCAAACAAATCCTTAACAAAAGGCTAGCACAAGGTCAACGCAAATACCGAATTGCAGGTCAGTAAATTAGTTCCTTATTGTGTGCATAAAACAAATAAAAGAGATATTTCAACATTTAGACACACATGCAGGGCATTTTCTATGAAAGGTAAGATGTCTCATCACTAACCAATTAAATAAAATTGTTAATCTTTTTAATATCACTATTATAATATAAAACAAAAAAGTATTTAATTTAAAGTTGACTCCCCGTTCGTAATACCCCACCCACTTTGTATATGAATTTAGATCAATAAAACACATTTATGGCATAGTTCGCTTATTCTTACTTATTCTAAATATGTGTAGATATAGTTTTAAAGCTGTATTAAACGAAATCATGAATGTTATTCAGTTTAAACAAGAATAAAACTAATAAGTTACACATATTCAGAAAGCACACCCAGTTTGCAACATATTTTTCTTCTTTCGTTTAAATTAGGCGATGAAAACTAGAAAAAAAATCAATAAAGTCAAAATTTATAGCATGAGTAAGTTGAAAATAAGAAATTTTATGCAAAATTTCAATTGATTTACAAAACTGAAAAAGGAAATAAGCCAACGTAAATATACTAGAATATTTAGGGATTTGGCGGCCATCTTTGACGCCATCTTGGATATCTTAGCTTCGCATCGGGGTTGGGCCAAATGAATATCCATTCCAGAAACTACAGATCCAGACGAACATTTTGGTATATGAAACTTGCTGTTGGCTGACATAGACCAGTTACCCCTCTAAATAGGCTAGTAAAATGGGCTGATTTGCAGCACTATTAGGCGCCACTATGGGTTATTACAGTTGCACCTAGACTCCGTTAAGCTGGTTAACTTTCTCACACAACATAAACAATTTTACGTTTATTTTAAGTTTCTGCACAAATTAATTTTTTAACTTCATCAAGTGAATTTAATTTGTATCAGGTTTTTGTTTGTTTGTTTTGGGTTTTACGTCACATCGACACATTATAGGTCATAACGCGACGTTCCAGCTTTACTGGTGGAGGGAGACCTCAGGTGCCCTTCCGTGCATAATTTCAGGTACGAACGGGCACCTGAGTAGAACCACAGACGTTTCGTAAGCTAGGTGGATAGCTTCCTCACATGAAAGAATCAAAAGTCCCTGTCGGGATTCGAACCCACAGCGGTGAGGGGCAAGTGGTTTGATGTCAACGACCTTAACCACTCTGCCACGGACGCCCCATCAGGCTTTTGAATTTCACGATTCTTTTTAAAATACTGCTGCATTTACTATGAGTAAATAATCTTCTTTACACTTTAGAAAAACAGTTTAATTTAAAATTATATTTTATTTGCTCAATCGTATTATATCCTGAACATTCTTTGGACCGAGATTTGGAAATGACAAACGATGAATCAGTGTCTTTCTATTTGAAAGACCCTGAATGCATAAACATGTATATTATTTCCACTTCTGCAACATTTTATACATATATTGAAACATCAACAAGCAGTCCAGCATTTTGTATTTGCTGTCATTGATATTTTAAATAAACCTTCTCATAAATTACAGATTTTGGAGAATGTCAGTCCAATGAATATAAATGTGACAATGGTGAATGTATTGAAAATGACAAGAAATGTGACGGATTCTCACACTGTCTTGACAATAGTGACGAAAACAACTGCGGTATTATCTAAGATCTTAATATATAATATTTGTAAAGGAACTTTAATGGATTTTATATTATATTACATTTTTATATTTTAACATCTTTTCAATATGTATTACTGTTATCATTAATTGTTTAACATTTCTGTTTCATTTAGTATTTCTTGAACAAAGAATTTTACGGAATGTAACAAAATATGATTTTTTTCAGTTGAGCAACTCATATTCTTATGTAATCACGAAGGCCAATAATTTTTTGTTTCTATCCTCATGTACTCGTATTTGCTAGGCCAATTTTATTCGTGTATATATTTATTTCAGTTCGGCAAATTAAAAAAGTTAATATCCTCACGCAACTTATTAATTCAATTTAAATATTTTATATCTTCATGATTTCAATCAGGCTGTATTTAATATCTTATATTATCATGCATTGCGGTAAGGCCAACTTGAATATATAGTTTGTGTTTTAATATTATTTTACTTCGTCCTGTTTTATGTTCTTGCTCTATCACGTTGATCCTTTTCTAAAACCTGATTTGTACTTATGATACCACAATTTGTTTTAATTTAACAAAACGATTTATAAATCATTTGTTTCTTAACCTTATATTGTTTCAACGCTAAAGAAATCTATGAACACAAATTCTTATTATCAGAATCATGTAATATCACCAAAGCATTTCATTGCGACGTTGTGAAATGCGTAGATAACCGTTTGATATGTGACACCTATACCGACTGTGACGATGGCAGTGATGAATCCAATTGCTACAACAAAGGTTTTACATCATGTCAAGATGTTTGGAATGCAGGTTACCGACAGACAGGAGCCTATCTGATACGTATGTTAACACTTATCAATACAACAAATATAATACTTTCGCATTGTGTTCAAATGGTTGACTTTCCGGTGCTCATGCGTGGTTTGATATTATCAAGGGTTGCGCTCAGCGAAATTTGCTTTCCCTTATGGATCTTTACTCACATTTATTTACAAAACATTCTTTGTAATTCCGTTTTATTATTTCATGTTTCGTTATAAAACAATGCTTCATTTGATCATTTGCATCTGCAACTATTGCCTAACAGTCTGTTTAAGGTTCATTTATGGTTATGAGTGAAAATGAGAAACGATCTAAAACATGAAATGCATAGTAATACTAAATGTTGTAGTGAGAACCTGTCAACTGAAAAATCAACAATATTTATAAATAAAGGTTGAAGTATGTCCCTATGACAAATGTGAAAAACTGTTTACATGATCCCATTTAAAGACGAGTGTGGTATGTATATGATTGTAATCTAGTATCATATGTAAAACTATATATTTTAGATAACATTGAAGTTAAATGCGACTTTGATACCGTGTTATCTAAGGGTGAAATGTATCTCTACTTCATAAATAGAGATATATACTGGACATCACCCCAGCCCTGGTTCCTTGAGTATTCCAATAGAGGATATACATATTATAGAGTAGGACACGAAACAGAAGACTTGGAAATAGAAGAAATCTTTTATATAGAACGAAACTCATGTTACATGCAGGTAGACAGTTAGAGAATATCATCAAATATATATAAAAATAAAAGAAGGCATCAGAGAAGAAAATACTTTAATTGACATTATTTGGTATACCTCTTCTTCAGTCTAGAAAATACTTAAAATTTTGAAACATTTATATCTAGTATATGTGTGCTGAAGATTAAAGACTGCTTAATCAGGTGCTGCGGGGCTGCTGAGAGATTATGAAACTTTGATTATATCTCGTCAACAGCCTCTGTTGAACCAAGTCTTTAATTTTCACCTTTTGATTTTGCTTTCGGAGATCTTACGGATACTCGCATCCTAGAATAAAATTTTAAAATTTTGATTGTGGTGCCGTCAGGTAAAAGAATATAATATTATATGAAATATGAATGTATGGAAAGTGGTGAATAAACATCAAAATGAAAGCGTTACATGTCTCGTATGATCCGTGTCGTCTGTTCACGTTCTGCATTGGTCGTTTTTCAGTCATTATATTGTTGTTGTTGCTTTTTAAAATTTTCCCTAAAATGATGAACGCTTTTGTACAGTGTGACAGTTTGACATGTCTATTTAATTTATGATGCAACATGCTTTAGCAGTGTGTGTAACAAACTATCGCATAAACGGTTGGGTTATACAAGTTTCGACCAAAATATACGGGTCATACCTGCAGAGCGTCTCCTATGAATTATTAGAATTACAATTTTTCACGTTTGTAACGTCGATTTTTTATTGGATAATTATGACAGTTTTAAATTCACAGCTGCTGTCAATTTATGAAGACATTTTACTTTTTCTCAAAAAAAGAATTCCTGATAAGTTGTATGACCGTATGTAAACGGTCGTTTGTAATATAACCCTCGCCTAGTAGCTCAAACAACTGTTTATATGGGGCCATATAACCTGTCAAGAATCTTTATAACTAATATTATATCTTTTCACCAGGCAATTCAGGAATGTAGCCCGGTGCATTTGTCCATCATTGAGTTCGATGAGGACTTTTACACGGAAGAAATTGGCCAGTGTCTTACTGACGAATTTGCGTATTATTGTCTATTTGGTTGTTCGTAAGTTCGTTTTATGTCTATTTTAGTTCCAGTTGTATAGATCAGAATGAATATTATAGTAAATTAAACTAAATAATTTGTAAAGATATACTATGCTTAATTTGATAATTGAATGCACGTATAATTGCGTTGCAGCCCCTTTTTAAATGTAAAATTAACATCCTTTGAGGGCACATAGAAAAGAAATATTACGTTTAAAATTCTACATGCTTAACCTTAGCTTAGTATGATTACTAGTGTCATAAAAAAACTGACATTACTTTATAGATAAGGCCATATAAATTTGACCAGTAACAGGGAATAAAACTTACCAAACATACTTTATGCATTATCCTCTTCAAATTATACATTTTAAATTTTAATTTCCTAGATTTCAATAAATTTCTGCAATAAAAGTATATAAGCCAAAGATGAGCATAGTATATCTTAAACAAACCAATCAGTCAAATTCCTTTGTTATGTTTAATGGTGATATGTGATAAGTAATTTGCATTGCAATCGAGTGTTTTGACAAAAAGTTAATATAAAAGCTGATATAGTCAGACAAAAACCTAAACTTACATATTTCATCTTTTCGTTACTCTTAAATGTGTCTGTTTTAAAAAATCTAGATTTTTCTCATATAACATGGACCCCCTTGTTATTGTTTCAGCCAACAAAAATTATGATAATGTATCAATATAAAAAAAGAAATATCAAGAATCATATGATACCGTTTTTCTCGTTTTTAAACAAGCACAAAATGCGAGAAAACGTTGTAAAATACTATTTTATTGGTTAGTTTAAACATTTTTTATTGCATTTAATACATGTTTACAAACATTTTATACAAATGATGAGCATATATCAAAATGCAAATGGGTTGGGCAACAAGTTCTTAAAACATTAGATTAAGCCCTTTCCAGAAATTAATATTACAGCAAAAAATACTATTAAAGGAACTATGATTACTTTTAACATGTATATAAACTTTAAAATATGTATTTGATTTTTTAACAGTTCATTTATTCATTAAAAATTAATGTACAATTTTGATTTTGATGTGCAATCTATCCACAGGTTGCCATCATAATCTCACTTTAGTTTTTAAAAAAGTTGAACTGTAGTTTGGTATTTGGAGAATGGTGGTTAGAGAATGTTTGTAATTTAAGAAAGTTAGATTGGAGCAAATAAGCCAATATAAATGACAAATTTAAGAATACAGACAAGATGAAAAATCAAATATTAGTTAATTTAATTGGCTAAAGCCTTTAACTTTTAAAAGTACGTTCATCTGTTTATAGTGCCGCCATAATGGTCATTGTATCGTGGTGCTAATATTCAATTATATATTATGATAATCATACTGTTTACTGCAGAAAACACTGGGTGAGAAGTTATTACTACGAGAACTCGTACTTCAATAAACGTGTATCAAGAATGCATTTATCTCAATACGGAAAATTCATTTACTCGTACGCGAAAAATTACGAGCTTTTACCATGGCCGACCAAGTGTTCGTATGGTATGTAATATTTTAGATCAGTTCAAGACATTATTTCATCCCGTACAGTTTAGCGCTTTTTTCTGATTTTTTATTTTTGCTTTCACTTCACTTCCTCTTTCAGACGTTTCATGTAGCTTTTAACTGCAACAATATTTTTGTAGGCAAAACAAAACAGCATGAGTTGTACTACCTCAACACAAGCATATAATCGCATATAATCGAATTTATTTAGAACTCTAAATAATGCGTAAATATATATATATATTATATATATATATATATATATATATATAGTTATGTAATGTCATAAAGCATAAAGGGCTAGACTTTTTTCAGCGTTTATCTATAAGAAAACACTGTGTCTGTTTTGTAAAATTTTTAATATTTCCATTCTCATAATTATATTTATTACAGATTTTGAAGCTAAGGAAGATGTTCTTGTCTGTGAGACAGATGTCAAAGTGATACCTAATTACCTTAAATGTATGTACGACACTGACTCAAATGGAGTTATACTCGGTTGTAGATCCGCAAGTCATCTAAAGAACTGTGGTATGCTAATATTTATATCATTTTACTGTGATATGCCAATATTTATATCATTTTACAGTGGTCTACCAATATTTATATAACTTTACTTTGATATGCCAATATTTATATCATTATACTGTGATATGCCAATATTTATTTCATTTTATTGTGGGATCCTAATATCTATATCATTTTAATGTAATATGCCAATATCTATATCATTTTACTATGGTTTATCAATATTTATATCATTATACTGTGATATGCCAATATTTATATAATTTTACTGTGGTATACAAATATTTATATAATTTTACTGTGATATGCTAATATTTATATCATTTTACTTTGATAAGCCAATATTTATATCATTTTATTGTGGTCTACCAATATTAATATCATTTTACTGTAATGTGCCAATATTAATATCATTTTACTATGGTTTATCAATACCTATATCATTATACTGTGATATGCCAATATTTATATAATTTTACCGTGGTCTACCAATATTTATATAATTTTACTGTGATATCCCAATATTTATATCATTTTACTTTGATATGCCAATATTTATATCATTTTACAATGGTCTACCAATATTTATATCAATATACTGTAATATGCCAATAGTTATATCATTTTATTGTGGGATACTAATATCTTTATCATTTTACTGTAATATGCCAATATTT